TACTGAATATGTACATAGTTTTGCATCTCAGATGAAATGTTACAACAAAAACTTACTTATTAGCCACCAACAGATTGATTAGATATTAAGCTCATGACTTTTAATTGCGAGTCACTATTTAAGAAAAAAATGTTTTCAAACAACATAAAAACAGATAAAATAATCTCCAAACAACAATCCGGAATTTGTACTCCTTAAAGTACGAGCTAAGTTGTCATTTTAATCGATACTTTATCTCCATTATTACCCAGTGCGTTTTTCTTTAGTTGATAAGTAGGAGATTGGTTTATGCCTTGTGTACCGTCAAACAGACCCTCATCGGAATAGTGTGCCCGACTCTCAAACATTTTAATATATAGTATACGGGATAAAATATTTTCTCTTTACTACATTGAAGAGGGTCTCTTTTGTATTGGCGTTGCATGCCGTTCTATTTTGTTTTTCGATCTGCGTTCAGACCTTCACTTTTTTACCGCATATTTTGGTGTCTGCCCTATTTATTGGCTTAGTTTCTGTTTTATTTTTCAAGGTCTAATTATATAATATATATAAATATTCATAATCTGGTTTTGAAACGATAGTTCTGTTGATTATATTTATGTTTTGATTTGATAAGTCCACATCTAAAATTTTATCATTTCTGTAGTTAATATTATCATTTCAGCGGAAGTGTTTCGAATTGACTGCAACTATAAAACAAAATTTACTGAAAGAGCTAAAGGTGGTACCTCATACAACCTAGGAAAAATCTATGGAGGATTGAGCTCAGCGCTGACGTAGTTATACTGAACTCGATGCAGTACTACTTTAAAAGAAACAAAACACATTTTTAAGTATTAATATTTTTAAGTATTAATATAGATATGAAGATATCTTAGGGATAGTTCCGCATTACTTTTTATTCAGGATATAATTTAAAGTGACCATAAGTTCTCATAAATTTTGATAAACACCTTAACCAGAAATATAATATCTTAACTGGGTTCACTGTTCTAACAGTGGCAGTTGTTTTACTTATTTGGAGAGCATATATTTTTAACCGATTTTAACGAGTAAAACAATACAAGAATACAATTGATTTTTTTTAACTTATAGCAAAACTGAACCATTGGTCGATAGGGGAAGTATAGGAAAACCTAAATTGGTGCAAAAAAATTAACAGATAATTTGAGTATAGTATTATTTCTGTTATTCTCATGGAATAAAAGGAATTTTTTAAAATATGATTGACCCTATTATTTAATGATAAGAGATCATAACGATGAGAGAAAGTTGCAAATCTTACTTTATTATACTAGTTACCAAACAATTACAGAATTGATATTTATTATCAAGTATTCAAGATGATAGTATTCCAGGATACGATGTAATATATACATTAGATGAACAACATTCATCTAAGTTTAGTAATGCTAATCTGCTTTTGTTGTCATTTCAAGGCAACACATAATGAGGATTCACGTGACAGTGGATGCCCCCAGTAAAGACTTATGTTGAACTAGTGAGGTTAAATGTTTAAAAATATTAATAGATAAGTCGTTTGAACATTAGTAGTGTTACTGTCCATGTCTCCCATACAAAGATTTATTATTTTAGAAGATTTCTAGTTTGAGAACCTGGAAATGATGAGATGGCTTAGCATTGATAATTGACAATGGGTACCAGGCTAATGATTTCTATCTTAGAGACTGATTCACGATTTACCACTGATTCACATTAGTTGAAATTCCTTGCTTAAGGTTTAAATAGTGCACTTCTCGCTAAGCTATTCAGTAATCCTTGTATAGTATATAAATATATTTATCTGTAAAATCTGACAGTTTAATTTGTAAACAATTTATTTTTATATTAGAAATGTAAAATGAATTTTCTGTTGCATTTAGTAAATAATAGTTTTCTAAATGAACTACTTCTGCTCAGCTTGCAGTTCTCAATGTATCTCAGATTTTTATTTAATTTTGCTATTTTTACGCTGCTTTCCTCTGCTAAATAGTGTATTCTGCGCATAAGAAGCGTTAAATCAGTGACAAATCTCATTAATCACTGTAGATTTGTAACAATTTAAATTATGCTCCATACCAATACTCAGATGTTAATGTATATTTCCTTACAGCCCAAATGCACTACTAAGTAACGCCACAAATAGAGCATTTCCAGAGGAAGTAGCAAGTAAGCAAATCCATTGAAGCTGCTGTCAGCTGAGGACGCATACAAATTGAATATTATAAATTTTTCTTTATTTTTAGCTGCTGTACTAGTTGCCAATGCTGTCCTTCCGCTTCCCTTATATCGTCCTACAATTTTGCTATTTATTTACAATAACTATTGTTGTTGGCGGTTGTATTTTGATATTATGTAGTTGTAGAGTTGTAGAGTTACAAGTCATCTTCTAAGTGACTTTATTTAAGTCAATCGGTTTTATTATTTTCAAAAATTGTAAACAAGAAATTATGCAAAGTGATGAGAGGAGAGCTGCTTCCCATGGATGTAAACAATTAAAATGGAATATTAAATTAAATAATGAAGTAGAAAATGTTACACCAGAATATCAGAAATTTAAATATTGGAATTATTGCAAGAACCATGAATATTAATTTTTTTAAATAATTTTGTCATTTGAGTAATTTAAAGTATTGGGGAATCAATTGAAACTAATAAAAATATCTTTACTCTTAATCCTCTCTCAGCAGAACAGAGTTGAGGTTGCTGGTGGAATATTTAACGGGTCATCATGGACCTTGTCATCACTTTAACAAAATGGGTCTGTTTGAAGAGGTAGATTGTCAACTCTGCTAAGAAGCAGACGAGACTTACAGTCACATGCTCTGTAACTGCTCAGCCTTGATCTGTGCCAAGAGGAGGTCACTGGGTCGAGAACTCATCCCTTTTGACATTAGGAGGTCTTCAACGGCTGACATTCTGGCTTTCATTCGAAAGGCGGAATGTCTTCTGTTCGGTTAGGGTCTTTTACAGCCTGTTTATTCCTATTTTAAAAATTCTAATTATTTCACGAGTCTGTTAAGTCAAGATGCAGTTGTCAACTCAGACGATAGAAACGAATTGAAAGGATTGCTCTTTACATTCAGACGTAGATCTACCAAACACAATACAAAAACCTCAGTAACAAAAACTACGACCCTAAATATACCTAAGCCTAGGTGTGATGTAAATTAGCAAAGGAAGATTAATACATTGAGAAGGTATGGAATTGAATTACTTTGAAGTAACTTTGCCAAAGACTTGATAAGCGAAGCAGAAGCTCAAGCACAGATAGAAAATCACATATCAAGATGTCTAAATTATGTTAGAAATATGTTACTTAAATTATGTTAGATGTCGTAATGAACACCCTAGCGTTAATTAATATCTATGTAATACATCACTAAATTTTTAATGTACATCAATAAATGCATAGATGTCTTTATTTAAGAATACAAAATACATGTAATACAAATACAAATAAATTTTGCATTTTTAACGAAAAGATCGTTAAAAAGTTCACTATCTTTGCGAAAAGAACTCTAACAAGAATATTAAAAACTTCACAATATTATATATGTCGAATATAGTACACTATAAACTAAGAGTAAGAACACTAAAAAAAGTTTGATGTATTTCGGATTTTATTTAGTGTACTCTTCGTTTAGTGTTTTTTAACCAAAATACAAAATAGTACACTGTGTTTTGTACTTTACAGTTTATTTTCGTTCATTGCTGCAAGTGCATAATATATGGTCTATTTGGTCTATTTCTAAGGTATCTTCCTTCTTAAATCTCAAATGAAGATATCTGAGAAATAAATAAATTTAATGAAAGGAATGACAACGTCATAGCTAAAGAAAGTTTAACAATTCTATTGTAAAAAACATAATGACAATTACATTCACATATTAAAATATCAAAATTTTTGAATTTGCTACTAATCGGATATTAATTATTAAGGTAAGCATCAACTGAGAGAAATAATAGGTCTGTTCCACGAGTAACTTTGAGCTGTGTATACACAAGTTCGTTCCACCAGCAAATTTCCGCGTATTTTTGTGTAAATTTCACTTGCGTTTTACTTGACGTTTACTATGAGTAGCTCGTGAAACAGACCTAATATTGAATAGAGTAACAGCTTTATATTGTTAATGTGTTCTTTATGGTTGTTGAACCCATATCTCTATTTTAGGTGGTTTCGACTTTCGATGTAGAATTGATCATAATAGAAAGGTAACTCGAGGATTCAGCTATTCCCTGAACTATCAATATTATTGTTGTTATTATAACTCGAAGAGATATGTGGATTATATGACAAATTTGTGGAGTAGGATGAAATATGTTCGACTCAAAGTAAGCAAATCTTGCGAGATCGATCGGTATCATAAGTTAAGAAGGTCAAAACCGGTGCAATTGTGGGATACTTTTGAAATAGTTGAATTTATATTTCACAACTACCAGTTTAGTTATTGGCGATATTCTAACTTCAATTGAACCAGCAGCAGTTTTTGATTTTAGAGAGAGGCTTATTAAATATCTTGCTGCTATGTTCAATAGAATTCGAAGAAGACACTGCTTCGCTATCGTGCGCGGTTAGCTGTCATCGATACTATACTAAGTTTTCGATACTATACTAAGATACTAAGTTGATTCTGCTATTACTTTGCGATGTGATTATCAACAAGTTAGAACCGACTTTGACATTCTTAACCCCACTTACCTTGTCATCTCATAATATGTAATACAAAAAATAAAAATTATTTTCAAGTTCAGTAGAACATACGTTACAAATATAAAAAACTTTTAGAATAATTTTTTAATTTCATTTATTATACATGTGTAGTCATTGTGATAATTTCAGTGTTCGTATGAAGTAAAAAAATATATATGTGTTTACAATTAAAACAATTTAAGTTGAATTTTAATAATACAATTAAGAAAAATTTAAATTCACGACATATGACAGCAATCTCTTTAAACTAAAATTTAATATAATTGATATATACATAATTTGCACACATGGACAAATATAAACAATCCATATAAAGGAACATACTTTTATATATCGTATGCAAATATTTACTTTCTAAACCATATTAACTATGTACGTACATAGTTAATAACATAGTTCTACGGTCCATAAACCTTTAATCCCCATAAACCCAATTTTTGCAAAATTCAACTCTAATTTCGTCCAAGTGCAAAGATTACATATTAACGCAATTAATTATGTACAAATACATTAATACAAAAAATTTAATATTTACTTTATATTATGTAGTTAATTTAACTAAGTTAATTTCGTTTAGAGCTAAAGTAGCCCCTAGATATTTTTTATGAGGTCATGGCGAATTTTGGTAAATTCGATTTGGTAACAATGTTTAAATTCTTGATGACCTCCCTCGCATTTTGATGTGAGTTATTTCCGTAAACGTCAAATGGTGCCAGATTGAAGTTACTAAGTCTAAAAATTGATCCAAAAAATTATATTTAAAAAATATAATAACTTCTCCAATATATTAAAAATATAATAAATAAGATAACTTAATCAAGCAACTTAATTAAGCAATAATTATAATTAATTAAGGCTAAACCACGTCAAAATAATGAATGAAGATATGATTAGTTATGATAAACAAATCTAATTGTAGTGTATGGGTACCAACCTTTCTCCAGATATAGCTTGTAAGAATTTAAAGTAGCTTGAACGCAGATTCTTAGGTTCTAATACGCCGGCATGAAATAGTACAGCAGTGCAGAAAGAATATAATAATATTTTAAATCCAGGTACTTTAGGGAGAACCTTTTTCTCAATTCCGTAATTATAAACGATCTAAAATAGAGTGAAGATTATTAAAAATTATTGTAGTATAATAGAATTCTTTACTGTTCCGAACTTACTTGCAACGTTTTCCACATAACATATAACGCAACTGTGACGTCGGGATATTGTGTAAAGGCTATACTGCCTATAAGACCAGCTGGTATAGCAAAAAGTGGATCATCTTTACCAAATGTGCGCCTTAGTAAGCAAGAGACAGACTTAAAAGAAAGTGTGAATAAATAAAATTAATACATTTGAATTAAGTTAAAACGTAAATGCGTGTATTATTTGTAATGTAATATTTTTTTTTCCAATTTATGATATTTACAATACAGATTCTAATTATTTTATAATATAACTGCTCAACCATAAGCTATTAGTAAAAAATGCTAGATTTCTCCAGTCTCCAGTCTGAGTCTTAAACAAATACCTGACCCAAAGATATGTTATTACTATTGGGGACAATCTATAACCCATTTTTTGAAGAGAAAAAAGAAATATATGGGGTGATTAGTGGACGCTGAGAGCTATAGGTGTGTATTAAATTTGTGCAAGCACTGGAAGCGTTACACAATAAAGAGAATGTTAGTGGTGAGTAGCCGCTTGGTCTTTGGTCACGAATTTACGAGTTTTGTAGCTACTGGGTATAAGGGCACTTATGGTATACAAAAAGAATAATACCAAACTGGCAAATTTTCAGACGTGATAAGTTCGATGATTCTTAGCTAAACTTTAACCAGTTTTTGAAATAATTTGTGTGCTGATCCCATAAATCAGCTCTATTAAAATACAATATTTCGTGACAATGTTTCAAATGAAAATATATGTATAGAGTCGTGAATATTAAAGATAATCGTGCAAAAAGAGTTATAGTTTCATTTCAGGGAACCGATTATCAACGGTTAGGAATATTGACTTTGTAAATGCTACCTTTTCCAAGGAATCCAAGATTCCTTCTCCAAGTTTACTTTGATACATTTGAAGATATATATTGCTTAGCAATGTTACACAAATAATTTTTTTCGAAATAAATATCGTATAAGCAGGGTTTTCAAATATTATTGATATTAAAATTGGTGCATAATTTTATTTCATGTTTTAGTATTTGTAAATTTTATCAAAATAGATTTTGAGAAAAACGAATTTAAGACTTTAAGTAGTTGTCTATTATCTATTATAGTTATCTATTAATATATATGGCTTATTGTAAACTCCAAACCCAGATTCCAAGCCACTCCAAATTGACAACGTATTTTAATAGCATCAGCTATTTTGCACAATTTTTTTCCACTACGCTATATGTCGATATAGCTTACTTTCCATGATATCTAAATTTACAGTTCTTAACATTTCACGTTAATAACATTAACAAAAAAAAAATTACACACGTTATGTACTGCCAACTAGTACATATAATCTTTGCACTGCTTACACTAACACAACTAGTAACAACATTTAGAGGAAGGCATGTAGATAACTTAGTTAAAAAATAGTTCAAAAAATGCTATTTGTACTAAAATCTTATCTATGTCAAATGCATGTGCCCGGGAAATCGGTTGTGCCTCAACAAGTCCTGACACACGTGTATTGTTTAGATCTTATCTATATATCGTATTCATAAAGAGTAATACTTAAATATAGTTTAACCAAAAATTTACCTTATACAATAAAGAGAAGCTGCCCAGAAATATTCCCAATTTCAGCGTCTCCCGATTAAATATACTCTTACGCCAGTTCATTCTGTTTTGTACAATTTTCTTGATATTCATTATAAGTTTTAGGGCTACTTGTAAGCTAATACCACCAATGAAAGGCTTTAGTCCACCGAATGCAGCATAACTGATACAGCTCTCCTTATGTGGACATGATTTGTGTTTACTCTTAAGCGTATCAATGAAACGTCCATAAGCTTGTACTATGCCATTTATTGTAGTTAAATTGAGCGGTGTTCTCGATTGCGTTGTACTTGTTTCAGGCTTAGCTTCTGCTATTGTTCTTGGTCCCTCTTCTGGTTTTCCCACAAATATACGTAATATATTAAATATTGAGTCTTTACAACTGGTTTTATGTAAACCTAATCGATATAGATAAAGTAATATTGATATGCTAACACCGAATATAAGTGTTTGTCCATGTGGTATAGAGCGCACGAGACCACGTGACTCAGCCATATTCCAAATAGTCTCTGTCGCTACATTTGCAACGTATAACGTGAGCAAAGAGCGCCGCTCTGGACGTTCAACTAAAAGTGCTGTAAAGCTGGCGAAAAATGCGGGCACAAATGACACTGTAAGCCAGTAATAGCCACCCAGCAGATAACGTATAAAGCAATTATATAATATGAACGAAAAGGCATTTGTACATAGAAAGGCTGTGGATTGCAAGATCCCACGTATTGTCTTAATGAGATCGTCTCTTTTAGGTATGCGATGTCGCATCATAAGCGATATCTGTTAAAGGTAAGAATTTAATAAGTTTTATGAGTTCGTTGTTGGTACATATGTTATCATACTTACCATATATACCATTGTATATACGCGCAGGCAATATGGTATTGAAGCTAGTAGCAGACCAGCTGAAGCATTTGCACAATGTTTGGTCCATGGGTGTTGAAATTCTTGGCAGGTGCATAGCACTGGAGTCAGAAACTTGCTTTGTACATTCGTCATTCTCTTTTGCTTTTATAAAGTAAATAATTTATGGTGAAGTTTCGCGAAAATAAACTGTAAAAATAAATTTTACTTATTATTATTAATAATAATCATAATTATGAAGTGAAATATAAAATTTGGTAATTCTGGACCCAGAGTTAATGGTTCAGTAATTTTAAATACAAACAATATTTGGAATTTCATTCCGATTGTTTAATTATAATTTTCGATAGTATCAGTTGCGTACTTTAAACCTTTTCTATTTCGAAATGTGTTTAGATTAATGTCGTGATATTGAACAGATAAGGTAATACTCTCCTGTATTGTTTTATGAGCACCTTTGGGTGAAGTAAAAAGGTGATCATATACCACGTAAAACTAGTTATTTTTATTAAATTTAATTACTGACATATAGGTATATAAATATATATTTAACTTCATAACAGACAGATTTTTTTAATTAAATGCTAATAACACTTATAAATAATAATATATAATAAAGATGGTGTGAATAGTGAGGTGATAGTGAGAATAATAATAAAAAATGTATCTTTTTATATCTTATTTCAGATACATTTTCAAAAGCAAATTATGTAAAGAAAACTGAGTCACAGCCGATTGTTGTTTTATTGTACTAATAATCTTATTGAAATGAAGTACCTGTGTTTTTGTCAAAGGTAAAAGATATATCGGTAGGATAATATAGAATACAAATGCAATATAATAAATCGATACAACGAAAATAATTTGAGAGTTGAGTTGATTTTATTTATTTAGATACAGGATTATATTTCCATTTCCAAAAACGTGAGCATTAATATTAAAACATCATGATATTAAAACATGATATCAGCAATTTATCAGCATTCTTGCTCTGATAATTTTGTTTATTATTTAATTAATGTATTTTAATAACAAATTATAAATTTTGTTTTTTGTTTTTCAAACTGAAGTTGTTCATATAAATAGCAAATTGACTTACTTTCAGAAGTTACCAGTCGTAAAAATCGTCGAATAAGTACTACTCTTCACTCCAATGAAAATTGAGTACTTTATTGAGTATAATTGAGTACATCAAACTTGGTCTGGGAATGCTTTCAACTTCTCAATACCCTAGCATCGAGGAACTATGTTGCTCTTTTGTGGGTATCGGGACATGAAGGGCATGAGGGTAATGAAATAGCAGACTCACTAGCAAAGAAGGGTGCATGTACTCCTTTCATTGGTCCAGAGTTCTTCTGCGGCGTAACAAATAGCTTCACAAATAATTTATTATGTGAACGGGAGAAATAAAATCTTTTTGAACACTGGAGAGCCCAAAGAGGTATGCGGCCTTTAAGAAGATTCACTGATCCTGAACACGTCAAAGTCGACGCTATATTGTAGTACTTAACCTTACCAGAAACGATATTAAAATCTACACTGAACTTCTTAGAGGACACTGTAGACTTAATTATCACATAAAGATTATAGGTTCGATAGAAAGTGACTCCTGTCGACTCTATCATGAGGAGATGGAAACATCAGAATATACTCTATGCAACTACCCAGCGGCGACAAGACGTAGACTCGTTACCTTGAAAGCGGGATCTTAGTCCCAAATCAAATAGGTAAAATTAAGCCCACAGAAATAACGAGATTTATAAATAGTCTACATTTGTTTTAGGCCTTTAGGCGCACAATAGATCTTTTAGGTCTGGGTGCATTCATAGCCTATTATTTAATAATAATAATTGATTATAAGAAATGGTAAGGCACTAAGTAAATGTTCAACAAAAGCATGAATAAAAATATTGTAGTGGCTAATAAGATCGTATACAAGGGGTGTTTGATAAATCAGTTATAATAACTGTAATGCAAATTTTTAATATTTTTATTTATTTTGTTTATCTCTTTTTTATAATGTTTCAATACTCAAAAGCTTGTTTAGATTGTTTTAAGTATAATAAATCAATACAGGTTTTAGAAAAATTAAGCTGTCAGAACAGTAGAGTTCTCTTGAAGAGCTTGCTCTAAAAGGTGATGATGTTCTTTTATAAATTCGGTTAATAAAAATAAAAAATTAATAATAGTAAAGCTGAACATTTCTAATCTTAATTGAATTGGTACTAAATTCAAACTTAGTCTAGATAATAAAATGCTTCTATTTAATATAATGATAAAACCGTGGTGGATGTATGCGATGCAACGTTTGGGAACTGTTTCTAAATTAATTTTAGGCAGAGTCCAAAGATTACAACCAGAAACACTAAGAAGTAGTTGTAGAGTTTCATAGTATGTAGAAAACATTAATATGCACATTTAGTTAAGGATCGATATGATAAAGGAGATAATTGAAAAATTCAAATAATAATCAAAATTATAGATTTAGATTATTAAATCACCCTAATAACTAAACTAGAAAATTCTTAGTAAGCCATTATCCATGGAGATCAAAAATAAAGGATTTTCAGTTCATAAATTTAATCAAAAGGGATGGCAATTCATTCCTTTCCATTCCTTTACCTTATTTCCTCTCTAACTATTTGTTAATATTAATATTGTTTATGTTTGCCAATGTTACAATAACTGTTCTCAATAATATAGTGAGTCTAAATTTAGGTAGATTCATGTATTATGAATCTATAAATTACTTTATTACTAAATCAGCTTATTCAACAGCAATTGCAACTACTGTATGATAAAGTTGTCGGATCTACAGTACATATCTTATTTAGATCCCTTTGATTTGTATTCGAAATATGAAGAAAGGTATGTTTGAAAGAAATTTTAATTGAATATTAATATAGTCTCTATAACTGATAAATATTTTAGACATCGAAGAATCGTATTTTTCAGAAGGTGTAAAACAATTGGAATACAAGTAGAATAATCAAATTGCAAATACAGATCTTCAATTCAGTTATGATAACCTTTCACTTAGTGTAACAAAGACAAGAAAGCTTGACTATCTTAAGCGAAGTACATAATGTTACTATAATATCGGTTCTCTGATATCGGAACATTAACAAATCCGAAATAGCCGATGAATTAGCGAGAGAATGATCTACCAAGCAAGAAACTCCTGTAGATATGGTGTGCAAAATTGTTGATGTGGTTAAACATTAATACTCAATACATCCAAATAGCAGATTGTAGTTGGAAAAATCATGCAATATATAAGACTCATACCCGGGTTGCAATATCAAACAAACATTATACCTAAATACTTTCTTAGTTAGCAATTATAGACGTGAATCGTCCTTATAGCTAATTAACAGGAATGCTGGATCTATTGACGAAAATAATCAGAAAGTGGAAATTCTCTAGCGATAATTAATTTCAACGAATCTTAAGGTCCATCCACACCAAAGCGAACGCTTGCGAATGAACGAACTTTTGCAGGTACCATTACCTGTAAATGTTCGTTACAGTCTGGATCTTATATGCTGCCTTGACTAACAATAGGAGAATTATGTGAATCTTGCAGCAGAATGGTACGAAAACACGAATTAGACTCAGGAAGTGTCACCATTTTATTCAACCACCAAAGTAGACATACCAATTTATTTATCACTTAATTATCAAACAGCCCTCGTAAATCACCAAGCAAGGATTTACAAAAAAAAATTTTTTAATTGTGGATGGAGTGTATTTTATATATCAAAACATTTATGTTAATATTTATTTTTATTTTTTATTGTTTGTACCTTTTGTTTATTTAAGTAACTATTTAATAAATGTTTACTTATTAATTTTAATTAATTCACAGTTATCACTAAGGCATTAAAATTGAAAAGAACAAATTATTTTTCGAACTGAAGCACAGCAAAAAATTTATGAACGAAAGAGTTCAGAAAGTTGCTTTGGTCTGAAAGTAATACATAACATGGATAAGATAAGCAATCGATAACCGATAATCGCCTTGCATAAATTATTGCTAATCCGATATTCAGCGTACTGGTATCTGTAACACCCATAAGCGCGTTTTGCAAAAGTTGTGTTTATAAAATCTTTTAATTGCGCCACTGAAGTAACCGAGCGGAACGCAAGCACAACGCAAGCAAAACGTGATAAACGAGAAATTAGATTAAATTGAGCACTGCTATAAAAGTTCAGAACTCTAAACCATCCGAGTTCATACCCGTATTTCCCCAACGTATAAGAACTGATTACAAATACGACAATTAAAATCGAAAGCAGCGTAAATAAATTCGCCCCTTCTGGTAATTGCTCAGAGACTGATTAAAATAGTTTTGAGCTGCAATCTCTGGTTCAATGGTCAGGAAATTGATACGAGCAAAGAAATTAAACACTTTTTTTGGACTAAATTCGTTCTGGGTGTTTTTTTTTTCGTATTTATAAAATTCTTTTAAACTAGAAATTGATAAGAATTTATGTTAATGAATTAATCAAAATACGAAGTGAACTCAATGAGTACAAATGTGTAAGGTGTGTGTTCGTTGTTTGTTCAACTTAATCAATGCGATTAGCTATTTCTGTTCCAGAATAAATCGAGATTACTTCAAATAGTTTCCTTATTTTGTTATTCTACTATCAGTTTTGTTTCAATAACAATTTTATTATTTTGGTTACATTTGCAAAAACTCAACTATATATTCTTAACGATTAGTTTATGAGCTTGGAGTTCACTTAAGCTTCTACTCGTAATAGTAATTAAAATAATAATAAGATAATTGTTATTTCAAAGATACATTTTTTAATCGGGTGGGTGTCATCTAACACGTCTATCTATTTTCTAGGAGGACCTATTAGTATATCGCTTGGAACGACTTTGTTGTTTATGTGGGTTTAGTGTCTAATTCGTTTATTAATGTGAATAGTATCGCAAATGATTTTAAGATTCTTAGGACTATACAAACCTTTACCTATTCTAATTATGAATTAAAATTGTTATCTAGTTTTTCGAAGAGTTTATTACCGATAAGTATTAATGACTAGAGACATTATATTTGGTGTAAGTGCACTTTTTTCTTTGCCATGAGAGACCTGTTTTTTAAAAATTCAAATGCATTCTTTTAAATGCATTAATAATTAAAAAAATTGATGCTTTTTATAGAGCAAAAGAGTTT